GTATAATGTTTTATCTATAGAATTAGTGGGAAATCAGAGTTAAGTGCATTGACAAGGCTGGAGACTGTTGTAAAATACTTGTGTTAAAAAAAAAAAAACATTCCATTTAATAATGGATTTTTTTTTTTATACAAGTATTTTACAACAGTTTCCAGCCTTGTCTGGGGATTTATTGATGTAACTTCATAAGAGTTTCTTGTCATATTTTATGGTTATCAGCTACACAAATCATCGAGTAAAAGTTCAAGTTCTTAATCACTGGATGAAAATTTTATTTTCTTACTTTTCATGAAAACAAATATGTATTCTCACTTAATAAAAAAAAGGTGTATGATAATCATTTATAGACTTTTGCTAGCTTACAGAAAATTGCCACCTGTTTTCAAATATTGATATATAATATTCTATCTTTGTAAACAAAGATTATACTCAGATTAAACTGTGATCCTCTTAAATGTTAATCAATGAAACTAAAATGGTTTCAGATGCTAATTTCTAATAAAGACATATTTTTCCTTCTATGAAGCAGTAACAAAGAAATCAGTTTGGAAAAAATTAACAGCTGTAAAGAGCGACACAAGACAATAATATCCTGCTTTGTAATAGCAAGACAGGCAGGCAGACATCCAGGTGGTTGTTTCTCTAAAAAGATGAGACACATAAAATGATAGAAAAATGAAAGTAGAAAGAGAAGAGCATGTAAATAGTACTATAGATTATCAATAATTGGTCAGCAAAGCCAATAACACAATGACCCTCCTTTTCTAACATAGAACAATTTTACATTTTTGGTACTTCATTTTATACATTAATATTTAACTATTTCTGTTAAGTATGTATATAGAAATAAAAGTAGGTCAACAGTTTTTTCCTGTTAAAATAAAAAAAAAATATACAGCCTGGCAATAATTTCTTGGGATTAGTCTTTGAGCTGATTGTAGTTTTCATTTTTAATTTAGGAGTCCAAAGAAGATGCCACAGTTATTATTATTATAAGAGAACATTCTATCCTTACTTTACACAGTAATTCTTATTTAATACTTCCCTTTAGATATCAATAGAAAACATCAATCCATTTGCATAATATCACAATATTAGCTTTCTTCACATATGAATATGGTTTGGATGAGAATCCATAAGATAATTTTTTTTTAAACATCAAGCATGACAAGCAGCAGTACTCATCAGCTTAGGTTTATGGCTCCAAGTTTTCCACATAGAATTGGTTTGTGAACTTGGTGATATAGTAATTGTGATTTCAATCCATGGACAGAGAGTGGAAACAGGGCAAGCAATAACTGAATAGTACTAAGAATAAGAACTAGACAAGATATCCTTAGACATGGGGGAGTGGAACAAGAACAATCTACCCCACGTATGTTAAATAAAGGGGTTCAGTTCAGAATTCCCTGTAGATTACTTGTATATACACCTGATGAAGGCTGGAGGTCACATCGACTAAAACAATTTGATAACAACAAAATTCATTTGACATGTTCATTTTGAGAAAATTCTTCTGATGCTATCATTTCATCTTGTGAATAAATCGGCATCATCAGAAAAAGAATTTTGTTTCAACAAAATCTGAATTAAATTTGTTAAAATTATTCTGATTCATTAGTGAAACATGTCAAAATAGATGTTTTCCAAATTGTCTTGTATAGTTATCATTTCTTTGATATATATCAAATACTGACATGATTTTGTATGCTTTTGGCCACTAAACATGTCTTACCTGATAAAAAACAAATAGATAAGAACTACGTGTCAATCTCATGACTACTGTGTATCCATGGACATTTACTACTACAGAATTCAACATGTGTTGCAAGATACTTTTCAATTCAGTTTTAATTAGAGCTTACAAATAAAAAAAAAAAAGAAAAAAAAAGAGAGATTCAAAAGAGAAAAGTAATAAATACAAATGTGTCAATGATTAGGTGTTGGCTACATGATAGTTCACATTTTGGTGCTATAAGTTCAATTACTTATGTATTTAGTCTGGACATTCTATTTTTGTATTAAGTAGTAGCAAGTGAAATGCCTGATTCATGATTTAATGCTATTAAAATGGATTTAAGTTGGTGTTCAATCATATTATTGTAAATTTAGCTCCCCTGTTATACCTCATAGATTGTCTGTGGGCCATAAACTTAATTTTTCGGGTGGCATGGTTAAAGAAGAAAAAAAAAAAACAAACAAATAAGTGGAGATAAAAGTGGAGTAGGAAAATATTTACAATTTTTAAAAGAAGCTACTCATGAGAGAATAATAGTGAGTTCAGACTCTTCATTCAAGAAATGAGAATATTCAAAATAGTCCTTCCCTTCAGAAAGACTCATAAATATTAATAATGATAATAACTCAAGAACAACAATTTAAATACTTTTAAGAAAACCTTAGATTTTTTCCCTATGATTGTTTCTTGTTAAGTTGGAAAAAAATGGCAAAAATAAAATCAGAAACTGTCATATAGAGGTTTGCTCTTCATGACATTTTACAATATAACCCACTTCTAAAATTAGGTGTTATTGTAAAAAAAAACGAAAAGTATGTCATGAAAAGTAGAACCTTCTCAGTATATTTTGTTTAAAAATAAATAAATAAAAAATATGTCAAAATTCAACATGTGATACAACCTAACTTGTTTTGGACAAATAAGACATCATTTTTTTATTTCTAAAAATTAAAATTATTGAGAATTAATAAATATTTAGAACATGTTTTCAGAAAACAATTTCTTGAAAAACTTCAAATATCAATGGTAACTTGACAATGACATTCAAACAAAACTGAATATAGTGAGTAGAGAGAGAGAGAGAGACCATTTATTTAAGGTCCCCTCGGCAAAAAATCAATGCTAATAATTCAAAGAATTCACTGAAAAAAAAAAAAAAAAAAGTGTTTTTTTTTTTTTTTTTTCTGGAGATTTACAAATAATGTTTTTTTTGGATAACCTTTTTGTTCTCTACTTTTTAGTACAGAACAAAAAGCGTAAATTTATTTAGTGTCTATCAAGTTTCCACAACCAAACTACCATTTTCTGTTAAAAACATAAAATGGAAGTTTAGTTGATCTTTCTGATCTGCACAAGGATTTATCTAAAAATCAAACGCATATAAGGTCGAAAGAAAGACGTTGATAGAAATAAAACAAACAACAAAAAGCTAAAAAACAAAACAAAACAAAAAAAAACAAACAAAACAAAAAAAAAAAAAACTGACAACCCAGATTGACTATACTGTGTACAAGAAGAGTAAGACAGTTTTGGAAGCCTTTTTTTATTATTAGTTAAGGAATCAAGGACTAAGGAATTTCCTATGAAAGACGAACTCTCGTAGCATAGGATCAAAGGTCAAATAAAAAAAATTAGAAAAATATGCAGATATCAATGATTATATAAACACAATTTCAAATTTGACACAACCGAATCCAGTAACTGTAAAAAGTCAGAGATTGATTTTGATTTTTGACACTCGGTATGAACAGGACTCTTAAAAAAAAAAAAAAGATTCTTCTTAGTCTTCTTAATGATCTCTAAAATCGATAAAAATCAATATTTTTCGATTTTGACAAATATCGTGATTTGAGGAAAGTCTAATTCTAATAATGAATGCGAATTATAAGTAAAAAAAAAATAAAAATCATTGCCTGAAATCTCCCCATTATTTTTTTATGTGTGGACGAGTTTATTTTTAAAAGGCTTGTGTCAACAAATAGTTGATCAAAAAATTTTAAAAACAACAAGCACCCTGATTGTTTTTTTTTTTAATGAGTTATTTTTAAATTGATCGATAATTGATTAGAAGAGAGAGAGTGCACTTTGAGTCATAATCAATTTGACTTTATTAAAGTGAATTTTCCCCCCAAATCAATCTGTTTAAAAAAGCTATTATTTAAGCAAGCAGCTTGTATCTGTTTTACTTTTAAAAGTAAAACAGTTTTACACTTTTATATTCCATCGGTAATTCGGTAAACAATACATTAATATTCAAATAAATCAATTCCAAATTTTGAATTGGGCTAAAAAGAAATTAATTCTACAATAGATACATTATTAATTATTAATGTGTACATGACTTCAATTATTTCTCATTAAAATAAAAAGAATAGACAAACAAAAATAAACAATCATTTCTATAATGCACGCCGCCTCTCTACAAGGAAACAAAAAGAAAAAAAACGCTTCAATTAACTTTCGTCGTAAATTGAAAACTATTTGGATGACGCCGTATGAGAAATTATTTCATTTTAAAAATACAATTCTTATTCATGCATTAAAAAAACAATGTTAAAAAAAAAAGAGGCAGTAACGAACCTATGTTGTTTATTATTGATAAAAATAGCTAGCATGTAAATAAAAATAGTCCACCAAGAAAAACAAGACAAAAATAAAATGCCAATCATATTTGATTTCAACAAAAAGAAAAGAAGACGTCTATGAGAATCCTTGCTAAATTGAAACGCAATTTATTTTCATTTAAAAAAAAACAACAACATTAATTGAAATTTATGTGTCAACAAATTCTAATAAGTCAAACACGTGAAACAAAGCAACATTTTTTTGTGTCCTTTCTCCCCCATAAGGGACTTGACTCACTGGTTTTGTTGGGACACTTTTTCTTTTAAAAGGAAAACTTAATAAAATAATCTAAAAATAAACAAAACAACAACAATCTGTAGTGTACAATATGACAAGTCGTTGGTTAATTTAGGCTTTTTTTTTTTTACTTCATATAATTTTTTAAAACGATAATTTAATTCTCTCTTCCTAAAACACAATTTATCAGACGTCACCAGTGTATCTCAAGATTACTATTTTTAAAAACATTTTTAATATAATCCAGAAGAAATCAAAAATGTACATCTGCTTGTCCACAAACAAATGCCATTTATTGTTCATTTACCAAGTGAAAGAAAGGAAGAGGTGATGAAGGATAAAAGTAAAAACAGTAAACTTTTTCAAAACACTTATCAAGATCCGTGTAGAAGAGACTTACCTCGAAAATTTTGTTGTGGTGTTTGTGGTGCCTGAGACTGATTTGCACGACCACCATCCGCTGTGGCTGCAGCTGCACCTCCTGCACCCATTTGGTTGTTATTGTTAACAGCGGCACCAGGAGTAAATGAAGCAGCACCACCATTGACAGAGGGACGACTCCCAGCAGAACTTGGATAGTTATTGGCAGCATAATAAGGAAACGTAGCCATTGCATAATAAGGCAGCATCATACCGAAAGCACACATACTATTCCACTGGTGATACTGCCAGAGCCAAGCACGAACTACCTGTGCATATTCACGGGCATTCATTGTCGTCATTTGTTGGTGTGACGGAGTAGTTGGCGTACCGCTTGTTACTTTCCTCATAGGATCGCCATTTTGCATCGAGGTTGTTGGTTTATAAGAGTTATTGTTGTTTTTCACCTGGTTCGTATTATCGTTATCATTTTCCCATACCTGGTGTTTCTTTCTTGTGTCATTTTCACATTCAGCCTGATTGCCGCTATAATCAGCAGGCCGTGAAGTATTTCTTTCGCTCTGGTTAGAATCTGGCAATAAAGAAGAGGACGGTGATGTGTAGGTTGTTGTCGAAGCTTCTGTGGAAAAAGATTGATTGGAATCAGTAAATTCTGGTTGACTACTACGACTATCTACGCCGGGTCTATCACTATGCAATTCTGCTGCTTTTTGTTCATTAGGGAGTTCAGAACGGCCATCGTCCTCACACTGACGTTTGTCTGCCAGACCCAAACAATCTTTGGCAGCCATGTTATTTCTCGTTTAACTCACGCGAGACGATAACGCGATTTCAACACTCGTCAATAGTGTTGAAATCGCTGCTGCTGCTGCTGCTACTTGAAAGTATACAAGAAAAACAAAAAAGTGCAAAGAATTGAAAGCTCACTAATTCTAATTCAGGAGTTAACTGTTAAAGTAAACGATTATTTATTAATAAATTCTTATCAAGATAAAATAGATTTAGTTAAGCTATATTTTCTAAATTATTCTGTGTTGGTTTTACTGAATTACACTTGCTATTCAGGAATAGTTAAAGTTTTGGGTGGACAATCATTAAAAAACAAACACATTTTTACAATTACATTTTAAACTTCATATATTTATTATACATATTTATTACTGTTGGTAAGAGAAGCGATTAAGTGCAAAGGTGTACGACCAGGAGTTGATAGGTTGGTTGACCAAGGTCACGTTTAGTATCAAGAGAGAGGCCTGGAGTGAATTACTGAAGTTTCATGGTAGTGTGAGTGGGGTGTTGCTGGTAGGGTTGATCCATCTGCCTTCAAAGTTGAAATTGACATCAGTGAGGTATATGGATGGGCCAGCAGTCACATGATGAGGTCAGCAAGGAGCACCATTTTTATATCTGTGGTTTAATAGGTGCTGGCTCCCAGGCTCATCCATTTTTTTTTTTTTTTGTGGTAATGTTCATGATTGGCTATTGTATTTTAGGTTTTTGCAGGGAATTGTTTTGTGGACTGGACGTGATACTCAGAGCCCCTGCACAGAAGACAACTTTTTTTTATTTTGGGTTTTGCTTTCTTACCACTTACATCCAGCCAAAATGTCTAGTGATATGTATATTGTGAATTAGAAAATTTTCTTCATAAAAGGAGTATAATGTAACTGCTCACACAGACTTTATTAAAGAACACTTTTTCTCCTTTAGTTTTTTTTTTGTTCTTTAATTTCCCTTCTTTCTTCTGTCTATCCTAGTGTTGTTTCCTTTTTGTTCATTCCTACATAACTTGTGGTTGAACTGAGAGATGTTAGAATATTTTATGATTACCTTTTACTTGCTTAAATAGTTTGGTTTACCATTTACTATGACCACTGTTGTGGTATACTAGTATGTTTATGCAAATATTAGTCACCATTATTTTGCAGGAATCAACACTTTGGATAGTAAATATTTATGGGCTTCTGGAACATTTATACCAATATTAGCAGACTCGGTGTTAGTCCAGGTAAAAATGAGTATACAATACAAATATAAAACAAATGACAATGCATGTATTGACAAAAGAATTATATGAGTTGACAATTTTAATGCAAGAAAAAAACATTAAATCTAGCTATAAGAAGAATATGCTTGTTTGTATGCGTGTGTGTGTGTGAAACAAGAGTATGTGCTAAACATGTGTGTGCATATGCATGTGTGAGAGAGTTCCAAAGTCAAAGGAGGACCAAAGAAGCAACTGTGCCTTGTTGACAGCATTCCTATCGATATGTGACAACATCTGAAAGCCAGAACTAAAAAGTGCTAAAAAAAAAGAACGAACCAAAATACAATTGCTTATTTATAGGCTGAAAGAGTGTCCCCCATACCAGGGATAACCCACACCAACATCACCACAATTACTGCAATAATGCAGTTCCTTAAATAATGTCAATCAATCTTGCCCCTTCTTGAAACTTTGATATAGGGCCCGCTTCTCTACTACAAGTTACTTTCAAAATTTCCCAACCTGGGAGCCACAAACCGTCAAAGGAAAATTGGTGGGGAAGGGCAGCACTTTTTTTAGATTACCAAAAACCATGCAATTATCCAATTTAAATAAAAATCTCAGTACATATTCATTAATTATTTACTTTTATAATGAATAGATTTTCTATTTTAAAAAAAATCTGAGAAAATGTTATTCCTTTTGTAATAACCACCAATATTTCCATGACTAAATTTTACTTGAAAAAATGTTTAAGTTGCAATCATTTACTTTTCCATAAAGATTAATTGCCGATGTATCTCTGCTGAAAAAAATTTTGCAAAGATTCCAACATGACATAAACTCAATTGTTTTAAAAATTTGTTTTAAAACCAATATTTTAGTTTTCAGGAAAATTTTTCATGTGTTGAAATTTTTAAACATTTTTATTTTTTAAGCAATCATTTTCTCAGTTTTATTTTTCTAGAAATATAAAAAATATGGACTAGAAATTTTATTTTAATTAATAGCCATGTACTTATAGTTAATATTACTATTAGTAAAAAAAAAAAAAAAAAAAAAAAAAGAGTGGATGATCTCAAATAAAAAATGATTTTACTGAGATATATTGTACTCTTAATTGATTTAAAAGAACTGTTAAAAAAAAATTACAATTTAAAAAAAATAAGTGCTACTGAAATTAACACTTTTGCCCCCCTAGTAGGCATGGAGCACCCACGCAGTTGAAAGGTTTGGGGTAGTAAGTACTGGCCCTGTCAATTTTTATAGTTGATGATTGACAATATAACTTAATTAGAAAAAAGTAAAAAGTACAGAAAGCCAAAAAATGCTGCTGAAACTAAGTCCTTTTTGGGTTCCAACCTTGTCAGGGTTCCTGTATAGTACACACTGCACCATCCATGCAGATACAAAATGTATATAGTTGATGACTGACAATGTAACACCAGTTTAAAAATAATTAAAAAAATGGCGGATGGTCATAAAACAGTACTAAAAAAATATGGAGAGGCCACAACAGGGCCACCAAAACGCCCCTCTCCATCTCCAGTTGGGGGTTTTTGGGGTAAGGTGTGCCGGTCCTTGTTAATGTTTTCTTTTGTACCATTTCCCTCAAAGAATTGGAAATTGTTATTTTCTTCATCTATTTATGACTATTCTTTCACAACATTTCAATGTAAATAAAAGAACAAAATAATTTTTAATTTTGATAATAATCCTGTTAGATTGTGACACTGAAAGGAGTTGTTATGGTTCAATGATTTGGGGATACTATACTTATCCGTGCTTACTTTTCACAATGTTTATTCTTCATAGCTTTTCTCATATAAAATTTTCTTCTGATAGAGATCTTATTTCTTGTTAGTTGAGTGCCATTCAATGTGCTATTGATATACTTGTAAAATCTGTAAGACCAACAATATAGTCATAAGCTACTCCACTCAATTATTATTTGACTTAGTATCCACATTTTCTTTTTATGTAACATTTCAGTCAATATGTTTCATTCAATCAATGTTTTGTGACCTTTTCCAGCTACACATAGAATGAAAAAAAAATCTTTGAACATATTCTACTTTCTCTTCATTTATTTTTGTTAAATTCCTTTTTACAAAAAAATCTTTAATTTGCTATATGGAATTTTCTTTAAATTATTTTAATTATTATTAGTATTAAGTAGCAATGAAATTAATAATGTCATGTAATGTTAGATTTCATTACGAAGTCAAACTTTTCAAAAATAATTTTTAATTTGCTCCCTGGGAATTATTCAAGTGAGATAAGGTTAGAAATTAGATTTTAAAAAAAAATGAATCCCAGAAAAAAAACCAAAAAAACTAGAAGCAACTTTAGATAAACATATAAAGGTTGAGAAATGCATTTGCTGAAAATATTGTTTGACCTGCAACTGATTTTAAACTTTTCATTACCAAAGCTAAACTAATTGATTTGTTAACTGATTCCTTCTTTATGGTTTATCAACCCTTTACAGGTTACGGTTATTTAAAACCAAAAAATATTTTTAGATTGTAAAACATTTTTTTTAAGATAATAACGGTTTAGTAACACAAGTCTTTATTAATTAACCCATTTTAAGAGAAAAGAAGTGATTCATACCTAATTAGAATTATATAAACAAACAAGAAATTATAATGTGTATATAAAGTAGGGGATCAATTCGATATTACAATCAATATATAAACTGATCCATCACTTTGTAGCCACTGTAGCTTCTATACATTTATATTCCAGAGAATGTAAATAAATCTAAGACAAGCCTGTGTAGCTAATTAATATTTCATTAATTGATTTGTTTTCTAATGAATATGCATGTGTATAAAATGGATTAAAAAAAGTAGATTGAAAAGATGTGGAACAAATTGAAAAAAAAATTGAAAATACTGTTTAAAACAACAACACCTGGAGACTGGAAATTTTACCAAAAATCATCAATATTGGGATAAAACTGAGATTTAAAAGTTAAGTAATCTTTATATATATATATATGTGTGTGTTTAAGTGTATGTTTATATATATAAGTGTGTTTGTAAATACATGCGTGTGTAAGTGTGTATATATATATATGTGTGTGTGTAAGTGTGTATATAAATTTATATATATGTAAGTGTATATATATATATATATGTGTTTCTGTAAATATATACTTGTGTGTGTCTGCAAGTATGTATATATATATATATATATATATATATATATATATATATATATATATGTGTGTGTGTGTGTGTGTGTGTGTGTGTGTATATATAGGTGTATATATATATATAAAATAATTAAAAAAATGTATTCAAGAATGTCACAAAATAAAAAGATTTGAGAAAAATAAAAAGGATGATAAATAGAATAAGTGGATTGACCAGCAAGTGAATATCTGAAGAATCTGCGTGTTGCTAATGGAAACAGACAGAAAAGATGCAAAATATTAAGAATATTGATTAAAAATCTGAAAGTAACCATATTCCCACTTTTAAGTAAACATTATAAAGAGAAACACATGTTGCTTAAAAAATACATTGAAACTGATTATTGAAGAGTAATTCTTAATGATGAATATAGAGTTACATTGGATTGACATGATGGTTAGATTAGTAGTTGAGTCTTTCTTGGGAATAGTTAATCAATACAATTTAGAAGACAACAAGAGGGATGTGGAGTAATGGTTTGGGTTAATATTGTAAGTAGTTAAGTTATACGTCCCTTCAAAGTTGATGATAGTTCAAGAAAAACACAGAGAAATATTGTAAGTTCTTAGGCATGGTTTAGGGTTAGACATTTTGAATAGTA